CATATATTTTAATTAGTGATAATGTAGTAAAGCGATAAAAAATATTTAACTTCTAAATTTATGCGCCGTGACAAGCTAAATTTTGAAATGTCTTACCTCCATCGTATAGTAGAGAATCATCATAAAAGATTTGGAACTTCACGTAGCCATATGATTTTAAAGTTCCGATTATGAGATCTTGTAATCGGTTTTTCTTAAGAACTATATCTAATAGAAATACATGCAACTAGCGATTAACTAGTTGAAAAGTATTTACCAGAAAACATGACCGAATTTTAGTATTTCAAAAGCTATACTAATGGCGTGAGCGTATACTTAAGGGTCCCTATACTTAATTACTCTCAAACTTTTTGCTCAAACGGTATGACTTTCAAAGTCATAGTTTGTAAGAAAATGACCAAATTATTGATCTTGTTTTCCTTGTATTTTCTTAAAATTTTGAGCTTTGTTTTTTTTTTTGGATTTACGGACTTTGTTGTATAAGAAGGGAAAATGTTTGAGAGTAAAGTGTAAGAAGGTCAATGTTTCTAGGGTTTCTAATATGAGATTTCATATTTCTGATATCAATCGATCGAAATCTTTTTATTTTAGGTGTTCTAGTTAAGTATTTCCCTTTATTTACTTTGTTGCACAAAAAAGCTTCTCTCATGATCTATTTCATTTTCCATCTCTTTTATTCTGTTTATTCAGATCTTATCGAGCATGAATAAGCTTGTTTTGAAACTGTTTACATGTAAAACTTCTAATTACCTAAAACTTTTAAGAGATAATTACTAAAATGATTTGGAAAGTAGGCTAATTACTAGAATGATTTTGTCAAATCTGCAAACTTGACACAACTTCATAAAAGACTAATTAACCTTAGTAAGAATTTTTATTAACAAAATTGCCACTGCAAAACCTAAAAAAAAAGAACAGAGAACAAAGTTTTATAAGATATTTGCAGTCGGGTTTTGTTTTTCACGCATCATCTTCTCCGCCTAACACACCTCCGCGATTCCGGCGAGGCGACGACGGTCACGGGTAAGTCTTTCTCCTCTGTTTTTGTTAGTTTAACCGATTTGGGGAGATGACGAGGCTAATTCCGTTTGTTCGATAGGTCTTGTATTCTCGGCGAGGCTAATTCCGGCGACTGGTTTTGGGTTNTCNGTGAGTTTGNNTTCCCGGCGAGTTTGGGTTCTCGGTGAGTTTAGGGTTTCGAGTTAGGGTATATGAATTTTGGTTTTCATTTCGAGTTAGGGTATATGAATTTTGGTGTTCTCAAAATCTGGAAACCCTAATCTGCAATAAATTTTGCAGATTTCCTTCACCTTTGACGGCGAAACCGACGGAATC